GGTAGGAGAATGAGACAAATCAGACAAGCCAAAAGAAAGCAGAGGGAAAATGCTTGCATGATTGAAGTCACCAACAGCCAAATGAAGATTTTCATCTAATAGTGGAACCAAAAATGGGATGTAATGATCGAAGACAGCGATGTTCTCACGGATTCTGTTAGATTTTTCCAAACGAGACAGCACTTCCTACAAAATTCCTTCGCCTTGTGTGATGTAGATACCAAATTTTTCTACCTGCTGCATTATTTCTCCTAATATAATGACGATGGCCGTATGGTCAATCTAGTTCTACAGCAACATGCTGTATTTTGAAGTTGCAAGACGCATACCGAAAACACTTGCTCTGTTAGTTGGACCGTTCAGAAGAGGAGGCTAATTGGTGGGGTATTTCTCTAACTGCGCAGCATTTTCCATACAATCTATACAAAATTTTATTATCCGTGGTGAATCCCTCTACTGTCTTACCACGGGGGTAAATCCGCTTCGGAAAAACTAAAACGTCAACCAAATATTAAATGTATTGTTTATTTAAATTCCATGAGTGTATTGTTAAATCAAAGAAAGCGAGTTATAATTATCGTCATAGCATTCAAAACGCGCACTAGACAGTAAAGGCTTATTTGAAGTGATCCACGCTCATCATTTTTGTAGAGACGTGATTCTTAATTTGGTAGCACGCTTTTTCAATTAACTCTACCAGGAAATGTTTGTGATGACCGACAAAGATCATTGAACAGCTGTTTTGTCCTGTTTGGGGCTCGTCAGCAGTGCGTACTTTTTGTCCCTGTCAGTACTCGAACCGCGAACTTTCGTGTCGGGACTTAAAACCTTTGACCTTGAGCTACACGGTCGACGGTTATTACCTTGTGTGACTGGCTCAATCAATTTAGATAGTGAATGTTTGAATTAGCCCATCACAAACATTTCCATGCATTTAAAATGCATTCAAATAGTGGGAAATTATTGAGGAGTGAAACCCACATCCAGGATCATCAACAGTGTCCGATATCCGCGAAAAACCAAATGGGCTAATTCAAACATTCACCAGCTTTACCAGGACTTTGTCATTTAGTCCTTCTTTACTTTTTTCATCTCCAATTGCATCATAAGCGATCGGCCAATCAGGGCCTGCCAGAGAATAAGGAAGTGGAATTTCCGGTAGTAGTCCCAACCCTTAGCTATTCATATCGCCGCACACAGTTGTAACCAGTTGGTAAAGCAATGCATTCAGTATACCCCAGAGATTAAAAAACCTCTCAACATATCTTCCCTTTATCTGTCAGGTGGACCAGGTTCCGGTCGGACAGAACAAGCCCAAGCACTGTGCGAACGCCTTGCTGGTTTGAAGCATTTCAATGTGACTGATTTTCTGCGTCAACGAGTGCTCTATCACATTGAGGCAGACAGTGACAAAGATTGGGATGTTGTGGCACGTCGAGTGCACAGCAGTGATCCTCCAAACAATCGAGTAAATAAAACAATTTATTCGAAACTTCCAAACGCAAACCGATAATGGTTATTGTCTTGGTTTGTTCTCCCAACTTGTTGTTTTTCATCCAAATGTTTCGATTTCAGGCTGGTTGACATCGTTAGTGAGCTCAGAACACGATCAAGCACAGGATTAAGCGTGATGAATAAGTCAGCACGCAAATACGTAGTGGTGTAAAACCTGAGATATGGTTGATCAGTTTATTGTCACTGGTATTGTTTCTTTAAAGTTTCGCTGATAACATTACCTGGTCTACTAATCCACTACTTCAACATTTCAAGTAGCTTGCTTGAACGACAAACAATCAATAGCATCTTTTTTCTAGCTGGAGCTGCTTTTTCTACCGGTTGGAAATGCAGTCTTAGGCGAAAAATGTCTTAAAATCTTAAATTTAACAGCTGAATGGTCTGCTGAAGTCTGGAGTGAATGTTTCGCGATTAGACTAAAAGCAAGAACGTTGCGTTCTTTGTAAACTATGTTCCCTCAAATGCCACATTTGTTTTCACTTTTCATCTTTTCATTTTCATTATTGATAGCCTTAATTCATGCTTTTGTCGATATCTAGTTATGCATTGACAGGTGCATTTTAGCAAGACGATTTTTCTAAAATGGAGAAATGAATAGACTTTAGATTCCTTTTTAAATTTGTTTTACATAATCTGGGATTCCTTTTGTTCTTTAAAGATAGATGCTGAGCTACGAAATTTCAGTCTTCAATGCAGGTAGAAGTAACTCTGAGTACCTAGCGATTTGCGTCCTCCTGACGAAGACCAATCGTGGTGACCAAAACGTTGAACAGTACATAACTTGTTGCATAGCTTGTTATTCAAAAGCTTCTCTACATCTCTGAAATACTTAAACAGTAGAAGCTCGCCGTAGGGAAAATACAGTAATTGGAAGCGGTTTTCCTGTAACGAACTTGAATAGAGAAGCCGAAACACAGGTTTGCACAATGTATCCTGGATCGTTTTGTTGCATCTGTACTCATGCATACTGTAGTTTATATAGTCATTGCTATGTGGTCAGAAAAAATATAATGAGAGGCCGACAAAAACTGCAATCCTCATTACTCACCAAACACATTTCTTACCAAGGTAGCGTCCGAGTGATAAACTATTCACGCTGTTTAAACAATTGGTGAAGGTAATTTTGAATGACTAGTGTATCCACGTGTTTCAGAAGCTTTGTGTTGTAGATTCAAGTGATGCCGATCGCGATCTTTCTCGGTCTGTGATTCTTTTACCCTAATATTGAGATGTTGATTGTTTTCATTATTGTCTTTTAATAGTGCTATTGATAGAATAATTTAGGGCCGTTCGGCCCAATACCAAACCTAACCGATTGCTGACTTACATGCTGCTCCATTCTAAAACCCGAGCAGAGCGAACTTGTGACCATCACGTTCACTCGCGCTACAACTCATTTGTCTACGGGATTGCACGCAAAAACTGTACTCAATTATGTCAATACAATTACTATTAGCGAAAGTGTAAATCTTGATTTAGCTTGTTTAAGGATTTTTACAGAATTGGTTGCATCTTACGGGATCAAATCAGTGCTCGTGTTGTTACATGTCTTCATATTTTTATCAGTCAACTCTGTTCATCAGTTTCGTTTCGGAACATGCGATGAACGAGATTGACAAATGTTTCCTGAATATGAAAGAAAACTTTGGCCGTGATTCATTGCATATCTTGATTGACGTTTTGAAATTATAGTCACGCATTTTTTTCATAAAATGAAAGTTGAAAAAAATTTTAAGGGCGTTCTGTACTTGTTTTCACATAATAATGTATAATAGAACTGGTGTACCCCATATTCATAGGAAACTGCTGTTTGGTTGTGGAAACCGGTGAACTAAACCCTAGGGTTTAGAGTAGAGAGGTCAATACGACCCTAAAAGAACAGGTGTGATATTGAGTCGGAAGCATTCTAAGCTGCCTGAGTAAAGCTAGGTATTAGTGTCAGGGTTTGAACCCCGGATCTTAGGACACGACGCAAACCAACAGAAGTGACCTAAACCACCTAAAAATCACAACCACTACTTGACACAAAACAAATTCAGTAGGTAATTAGTATGCTTTATTCATTTACGTTTTCAATACAGTCTTTTCATTTACTCAAATCCTTTTGTTTCTTTCCAACTTCAGGATCGCATAGTTCCAGAGTACTGGGTAAGTTACAGTGCGTCAACAGATGTTTTGATTCATGCACAACCCAATGACTTGAGTTTATTTTCAAAGTAACATCTAATGCGTAATTATTTTGCTGTAAATACCTACTAGGGAAAATTGCTTTCATTTTCCAAACTGATGTGCAAAATATATATTCATTTAACTCAAAGATGGGTTATTGGGCTTCAACACTTCCAGTTGCGTATCCGGTGAAATTTCATCCTCAGTTGGTTTAAATAAACCATACTTGGTACCATGCCCCTACGGATCCAGTCACACCCGCTATACGGTTTCCTTTCATTTTGCATTTTCTAAGGCAAATGGCACTCATTAAATGTGTTCTGTGTTATCCAAAGCTGAGATTCTCTCAAGTCTATTATTTTCACTTTATTCTCACTGGGTTCAATCAATGCCGGTTCCCCTAGTAGNTGTACAAGTTGTTATTACATATGGGCAGAACAACTGCATTTTTTACGCTCGTATCTGACCCTTACCTGTTCCCTGTAACCAACATCCACAAAAATGTTTTAAATAGAAAGGATTTCATACGTATTTTCTTTTTTTAAGATAATCCCATGGTTCGAAAAAGTGTATCGCGATTTCGTGAATCTAGGACTGTATAGTGATATGCTGTTTCAATAAACGCTTATATATAAATAATCCACTGAGAAAGTTATCGCATTGCTTTTTATACTGCACATATCAGGATACGCAAGTTGATATTATTCGACAAGAATTCGAGGGAATTGCGAGCAAAAGCAGAGCTGTCGTGATTGAAGGATTTCCCAACGACGAGAATCAACTGAATACGTTTAATCAACACGTGAGTTTCTTCCAAACTGATTTCGTTTGAGTGACGGAATAATATTAAGGTGAATATAATTGACTAAGAGCTCGAAACCGTGAATATTTATTCCGATACTGAATAAATACAAGAGTAAAAAGAAGATAGGTATAGATGAATCAGTATCTAAGCTTCTTTCCGGCTGAATACTGGTTTGCCCTTCTCCTACATAAGTTGGCACAGAAAATCCGTTCTAAAAGCAGATGATAGTTATTCATTCCTGTTCATTCTAAACTGGTAATGTGCCATGAACCTTGAAAATTCCTCCTCAAAATGGGGGAAATATATGAATGAACAAAAGTTAATTTGCGTGGCATCTTGCATTCTCAATGAACTATGATAATGTTGGTTTTCTTCTTATATGCTCAACACCTTTTAAGGTAAATGGTTGCGCAAAGTTTCTTTGATTTTTCCCTCAGATTGGTGGCGCTGACTTGGCCATACTTCTGGATTGTGAAGAATCTACACTGCAAAAACGATTGCTAAGCCGATACACTCGTCTAGGACGTATGGAAGATGAAGACATGGTTTCACTACAACGAATCCTATTTTTCAAGCACTGTACTCTCCCGGTTGTTCGGCATTATGACGAACGCAGTATTCTAGTCACAGTAAGACTGGTTTGTGTTTCAGTCTAAATCCTCGTTTCCAGATACCAGGAGATCGTGAACGGGATCTTGTATTGAATGATGTGGTCACTGTTGTCGAATATTTCTTGAGTAAAGTGAGCTGGTTCATTAATGTTGCTAATAATTCACTTTTAGCAAGAAAATCAGAGTAACAATTCTGCAGTGGTTACTCCTGAACGCTCACCGATAAATTCAATGACATCTGTTGTTGCAGTAAGTTCATAAGNCAATATTAACTGGCAACTGTTTACATTGTTCTAATAACGCATGGGAGACACTGTTCTCTTGAAAGGACCGAATTATACGATAGCGAACCTCTATATTTGAAACTAGACGAACCTATAAGCCTGCGTTTGAATGTGAAAATTGCAGCTTACAGTTGTTGAATGAGGCAAAGGTAGAGACGGATTGTTATTCATTGCTTTTATTGTTTTCTTAAGTCACGCGTCTGGCGGAACGGTTAAAAGGTATTGTTTCATTTACTCATTTACTCAACTCATGTACTGTGAGAACAAATGGGTTGAGTTTTAAACTGTTTTCTAGCAAAACATCGATCAAATCTTAGATCCAAGAAACTGCTCAAAGTCGTTCATACTAATCAGCAACGTTTCAGCTGTTCCAAATATAAACGTGCTTTTCAACAAACCTTAATAAGTGGACACGAATTCTACCTTACGCGGTTTTGGGATCTATTACCATTTCAGTTCTCCATGTAGCTGTATTCCTAATGTAGAGTTTCTCGATAGAAACTCCTTTCAAAACCGTTCGTAATATTCAAGCACTCGAAACCGAATTATTTGCATTAGATTTGCGATAGAGAATTGCCTCTTTCTAATGAGGACAATCTTCCTTTTTATGCAAGAACAAAACGAACCGCATCTGCTGGATGTTCCACACCTGGGTGGAAATGCTAAGGTGAAAGCTTCTCAAAGTTGACTGAATGATAGTAATTTCATATCTTGAGGTTTGATGATTGAGAGTTGGAAGTCTGTGTTCATTCAACTCTATATCCCGTTTATCTCCAGAAACAATTTTAGATATCTTTTTTGCTGGATTGTGAGTTTTCGGACTGGTTCTATTGGTGTGAGACAATATGCTTTATAAAATCTTTCACCTAACCGGTTTCACCCACTTTTTCACTGTCCCCTTAGAGCTTTTCCGAAAGCTTTCCATAACCCAGTGCTCACTTATTATTAAAATGCTCATTTGTAAATGTTTTGACTTATTTTCTGATAACATTTCACCAGAAAATTGCTTATGTATAAGGGAAAACTTATCGGGCAATAGTTGTTTACGTAGGTTGGAATGACTGCACGTTTTCATTCTACGTTTTCCGGAAATATACGGTCAACCAATGCCATTCACATTGTTGAACATGTCGTTCATTTATAAATTTAAGTCTGTTATATGATCCGATAAATCTTTTACTGATACCAATTTTGTTATAGGATACAAACTGGCGTATATGAAGCAAAACGGAAAGTTAAATGCATGTGTGATAGACATTTTAGACCCGTAAACTTGATGATTCCGTCTTATTCTAATTCTTTTGAACAAATAAGGCAGTTCATTGAAATACTTTGAACGATAAAAATTATATAGTCCAAGGGGAAGATGTTGCGGGCTAATGCTACTATTCACAGTCATTTATCGCTTTCAATTTCAGGTAAATAGTTTGCAAGGTAAGTTCGCTGTAGTAGAAAGCATCGTGGTTCCCTGTATTCGAATCTCATTCCCATTTGGCATCCAATACCTGGCTACAAATTGACGTTTGCAATGGTTTCTCTACGAATGCACGGACATGTTTCATCACTGTGATTTTGGGTGGATAGCTGCGTCCTACTTGATCCCAAATCGGTCAGAGCATGAAAATGCGCTCCATATTTGATTTATTATAACAAGCAATCATGCTCCACTTTCGGTTGCTGTATTCCGGATACTCACCTTACCAACCTTTACAGAAGCCAGACTAATATAAATGTTGCATTAGTTTTACCCGAACGAAAATATGGAATTTAGTAAATAAAAAGATGCACCGGTGTCTCCGAAGCATTACTCGTGTCTTGTGGAAACACTGGGTGAGTAATGGCGAGGTTCGTCGTCGTGTGTTGGGTGTGGATAGTCTTTCCCTAACAGAAGTAATCGC